AGAAATGATGCTAAAAATATTTCCATTAAGAGAATGCTAAATGTTTTCACAATATGTAGAAGTTCTCACTGTTATTGAAATAACATTTCTAAACATTCTTAATCTTTAAAAAAAAATCATACAGCTACACTCAACTGAGCGATATTTTCAATGCTAGCTTCAGAGGTTCATCTTCTTACTGCTGAATGGCTCAATGCGCCTCAAGTATCACTGAACGAAATGTGATTAATTACCGAGCTTGATTTGTTTGGTATTGTTTCCTCATTGCTTTGTCTTAATGTGGTTTAGCTATTAGAAACAGTTCTTGAAGCCTTTCCTTTTTTGAAACAACGTCGTGCAAGACCAATATCTCGCCTGGCACCTGTTATTAAGAAAGTCCAATATAACTCTATTAACGAAATACGTGACCATCGCCGAGCACATTTCTTGCTCCTGTTTATAACGTAGCAGAGGCCATTGAAGTTCAAAAACAGCTTAACATCTCATCACTACAAACGATCAACCTCACCAGGTTCTCAGTTGTTTTAACTGATATGTTCTAAGGATTCACTCTCACAGAGGACTTCAGCAGAAAGTCAGGAGAGAAACAAATCAATGTTGAAGCCATCTATCACACTGGCTAATAAGAATGTCGCTAACTGACCTGAAAATCCTTACTATCATGGCGAGCATTTTTCACCATTCCATTCAGGAGTAGCCTAAATTCGACGAACATACGCCTTTCATGTGATTTTTCGTGTCAAAACAACTAAGTTTTTGCCTGGGAAGTAACTGAGTACAGAATGGAAAGAACGCTTTAAGTCGTTTTAGAGTATGGCAAACCTATGTACGAGCGAATATTTATCAATGCTTTAGGGACATTTTAAATGATCCTTGTTGAAGACGAAGAGGTTGTTTGTATTATTTTAGTGGAATTGTAGTGTCCAAAGTTATGGATCTTCACTTACGTACCTTATAGATTTATTTTATCACTTTTTTCATTTGCAGTCGGAAGATAAGTGGTTTGCTGCACGATGTTCCTGAACGTTCCTCCCAGTTGCCCGACAGAGGTGTTCCATTATTACAAAGACCTTCCCCGCCCGTTACCAAAGTGCCGTAATCGGCTGGATAATGAGTTTTTTCAGCTCTTTCAGCAGCAGTTTTCGTCAAGGGGATCTTCACATTTCAGAAGATATGAGGAGAAGGTAATTCCAATTCACATTACCTAATAATTCATTAATAATCATAGATGTTGGTAGAAACTTCGATGAAGACTGAAATTTATACTCACTGTGTGAACTTAGAGACTCAAATTAGCGCATCATACATAGAAATCGCGCAATGGAGAGCTTCTCTTATGCTACTCTTATGACACTATTGTACATCAGTGACACACTCAGCTACGCCTCGTAACGTCTTCTGTGATCTATTATTGTACATACCCACGGCAATATGAAATCTACTTGTTATATATGATAAAAAAGCAAAGTGTTGCTACGTCATCTATGGGTTTGTCCTCCAATAGATCATAAGAAAGAACCAATCAAATTGTTTGTGATACACAGATTTAGCCAAGCCTAAAAAATTGGAGCTCCAGTTAGTTTTTTTACTTTAGTTCTTCACTTTATCAGGACTCCCATTAGCTGTTGCTACATGTATTCCAATAAGTGTCACATCAATGAAGGTTCACTGTGTTTTCTTTCCCTTCAAATTGTACTCACATTCGACGAGAAATACACGGCTCAGTGTGTTAGTGGTGTAATGTGTCATACTATTATGGAGAGTGTCAACCACAACTGCAGTTCCTCCCTCCCTTCCCATGGTCTACAGCGGGATATCTTTTCCTATTTTTCATAATTAACTGATAGGAACATTGCATACATCGCGCCGCCTTTCATGCATTTGGGGGGAAGAGCACCTTCGGAACAAGATTTCGTAGCCAAGATTGTCACTTTGAAATCACACCTTTTGTCACGAAGGGGGTAGGGGGAGGGGTGAGTTGGTTTGGGGGTTCTGAATTCCTACAGTGGATTCGCCGGTAAGACATGACGGGTAATTTTTTTCGTGGTCGAGGTATTGAGGAGGGTTGAGATCTCACGAGTTGACATTTCAATCCGGGTTAAAAAAGGTATAGGAGAGGGAAAACTCTTCTTGTTACAGTAAAACTCCTATCCATTCTTGTGCTAGTGCAGTCAAGTTTACTTTATCGTACGTAGAATGCACTAATTCGCAGAACTAATGCTCACGAACTCACGAGGCCGTTAGTTAATATTAAATGTTACAGGGGGAATTTAATTTCATTGCTTCCGCCTTCCGATTAGCAGAATATCCTTTTAAAATATAACCCAGGGCGCAAAGACAGTTATAGTCTTGGAAAACTGGCGATGGCCAGTTCCTTGCTACTTTAAGCTCTTTTATTTGAACTATGTTCCTTGTTCCAAAGTTTGAAAGTTTTATTAAAATACACATCGGGTTCGAGTTTGTTACCTTCCACGGGTATCGTCCCTAAATATCAGAACCTGTCACGGTTCTTTTAGCATCAAATGATCAGGAGCATTGGGGTGATATGAGAGCGGAGCTACAATCTTTCCTCTATAAAATGATGACTAGTGCATTTGGAGAAGGAAAAGGGATAAACTTAACTTAAGAAAATGAAAAAAAAAAAATACCAAACCAAATTTCGTGAAAAAAATATACTTAATATGTTTTCACTTCTATACCCAGCTTACCTATAGCTTATGAACCATAGAGATATGATTGTATGCCATGATAATGCGCGACACTTTCAGTGCTACTTGAGTATAAAACCGCGGACTGAGGCTGTAATGGACGGCGAATTTCATTTCGTAATGTAGACAGGCGTTTTCCAATCAGGAAAAAAAAATTGGCCGATCGTTTCTCTGGGCCTTACGTAAAACTGGACATGGTTTCGACAGTTTGGTTTTTACTCTAACAGTACAACCTCAGACGAGAAACCGAATCATACGATTGAGACGTTTGATGATAGGAAACGTGTGGGCCATTTTTTCAGTTTACAAATTATCATTTTCATTACAACCCAGACACAACACGTCCCCAAGATATAAAACTTAATTAATAGCCGAGGCAATAAAACAATGTGCCGGCCACATTCTAAACTTTCAACAATCGACTGAAATAGGTTACCAACGGTAAAATTGTTTGGATGAAAAAACAAAGCCTTGTGTTTAATCCATCTTAAGAAAGATTAATAATGTGTTTCATTAGTCGTCTGTGGGTGGAAATGAGAAGTTTCTAATGAGATAACGGTTGAAAAGTGGATCAAAATTGTGAAGCATCGATCATACCAACATCTGGAATGCGACGGTATCGACATAAGGTGTTAAGGAGTCTCACGAAAACTAAAGAGAGCTTAAACGAGATGTAATTCGGCTTGCCTCGAACGAAGAACAAAGAAAAAAATTCCGATTCTCCCGTAACTAAGTAATCCTTAGCATGGATTCCGCGCGCCGATGGTCTGAAGAGGAGAGTGAAAAACAAAAACATTTGAGTATCTTTTGAGGAATCCGAAACCCCAGCTTGTTTTGATGTCTTCATTGTCTGCTAAACAAATTGAGCGACAAAGGAATTGATTGCGAGCCAAACGGGCTAAGCTGTACAAATTTCAAACTCACGGAACTTTGTATGTGTCAAATTTATTCATACAAAGCCCACGAGTTATGTTATTTTAGTCCATTGCGTTTTTCAGAAGCGTCTTTTTAAAACGTGACTGTTATCTCATCGCCAAGCAACTACCTATTTATTACCTCATCGTTTATTTTTTTTTTCTATTGCACGAGAAACAATGAAAATTCACAACGATGATCTCAGTCACGGCTGTTGCGGTTTCTGCCAGATGGTGCAGAGCATAGTCATAACGTGGCTCAGGGCGGAGCAAACTCGAGTAACCCTATTGATTTCCTCTGTATCGAGTACTTCATCAGTTAAAATAAACTTCTGCTTTCCATGAAATTGTTTATGCTAAGTTTATTAATTTTTTTGAAATATCGCGTCACTTCCACTTGATTGATGTCAAATTTCGCATCTCATTTAATTTTGCTAAATCCCAAGCTGAGTGTTGCCGTGCTAAGCGATGATCTTTTGCGATAATCTGTGTTAAAACTTCCAGGTTCCGTTCGATGTAGCTGCCTGTTGTTTTTTTAGCCGCTTGTGGCTGTGGGAAAAAATCGGTTTGCATATCGACATCATTCTTCACGACCACAGTTACTAATCTGACATGATACAATGGATTATACTGCGTCAAACGCTTGCACAATTCTAGAGGCAGGCCATATATTTATAAATTTAAAGTCGGCTGAAAGGGCTCAGCCTTCTATTTATTAAATGGATATGACCATGGAGATGACCATGAAATAAAAATTTGCATCACTTTCTTATTAATCTAGATGTTGTCGCTGTAATAACTTTTTCGGGGTCTGGTGTTTGACATTTAACGCTTTAGGGAATTAGTGAATATGGTCAGGGAGGAGAAACTTATGCATTCTGTTCTTTAGCACTTAACACAAAGTTTTCGCCCACAAGCGCTTAGGCTCAGTTTTGGTTTCCAAATCTGTGCCAAAGATTCAATTCTTCAGCTTACTGTAGATTTCTGTTTAAAATGTTGGTTTTAAAAATTCAGGAACTCATGTTAATCCGCTTGTGGTAGGCAAAGACAAAAGCCAAAGTAACTTAGATGTTGATAATTTGCAATTTTCGAGGCGTTATCCACGATTATGTCTGTTCCTGCTCATCTTTGAAGGCAGTAAACGGAATTGATCAGAATTGCTCATCAAGATTCACTCCAAGAAAGGGCGTTTGAATTCAATTTGGTCGACACTTGACTTTGAGCTATAGAAACCCTTTTTAGCTTATAATGCACATGACGCCGTAAAACACAGTAATTGATCCTTGTTTCTCGGTGCCAAACCGAAAATTCCCCTCCTGAAGTTTCGGCCCTTTTTTCAGCTTATTCTAGAAAGCAAATCTACAGTTTTATCAAACCATTCAGCGCAATTCTAGGCTTTATTTTAAACTTTATTATTCGATTCAATTCAGACGCTTTCTGACTGTGTTGGTTTTATGGATGTCAAGTAGCTTTTTCGTTGTGATCCTAATGTGTGATTCAAATGTCATCGTTTTTGATGAGCTGGCCTGTTTCCTCGGCTCTTGATGGCAGCAAGCAGTTGCTGAAAATAAAACAAAACCATACTTAAGTTATTTATACCTAGTTGTACATTTTCGGCTTTCTGCCTGAATAAAAAAGCCTATTTCGATTGGGGCTTGGAAATTTTTTCTCTGTCGTCGTAAGACGTAAGTGTTTTTTACGCTAAGACTTGAAGTGAAAAGACGGATGAAAAAAAAACCACTGTTTACAGTTAGGATAAACAAATCAGAACTGAATTTCTCTCTTTTTGCATGAATGTAGAGGTAAACAAACATTCATGCTAGGAAAAGAGGAATAACACTCATGGCACTGTTGACATTTCTTCTGTGCAGAGCAGCGCTTTCACAACTTCAAAAATTCAATAAACTATCATTCTACAGTCAGTGGTATTTATCTCCATTTAAATCACCTGCAGTCAGTATCCTTTGAATCTGGAAAAGACTGAAAAACCAAAAGAAAACTTCCCTCCTCAAATATTAATTACGCTCTGGTTTCCTTGCATGTTCACTCTTTGACATTGGTGAGCATTATAAACTTTGTCAAGAAAAAAATCACTTGGCTGGCATTGGTAGCGCTTGTCAAAGTTCTAGAGGCGTATCAGCTGTTTTTTTTTTTGTTCTTTATAGAGATCGCTGATCTATCGGAAAATATTCAAACTTTGCCTTGTTTTGATGTAGTAAAATACACTTTTTGATCATATCATTTATAAGGGGCAACCTGCTCCTCTCAGCCAGAGAACTGATCCACCAAAAAAAAGGTTAATACTCAGAGGAAAACAGTTTTTCTTTCTCATTCTTGTAAAACTTTCCTTTGATACTGACCGGCTATTGAGACAGAGAAAATTCATATCAAAACCTGTCTTCAAAACTCCAGTTTCCCGAGAAAACGTTATTAAAGTTAGACTTGTGATAATATTTATGTATTTGGGTTTTGGACTTACAGCTTGAATACCAAAATCAATCAGGCAAACTATTTTCACCTTAAGTTAACAGTAGAATATTTACAAGTGTTTCCTACCGAAAACAAAACAAAAAGAATTTGGAATTCATGAGAGTCTATTTTTGTTTTGAATTTTTTTCACCGCGTTCTCTAATTTGATTGTCCCTCAAAACTTGGCTAAGAATGTTTCAAACAGGAAAGGCCTCTGTGGACGATTTACATTCGACGGTATTCAAAGACCTTTCTCTTTAATGTTCATGTACAGTATGCCCTTTAACGAAGACTATTTTGATCTCTAATGAAAAATTTTGACCACCACTAAACGAATGAAAGGGAAACGGTGAAACAGCAGCAGGAGCTAGCTGATGTTAGCTCGCTTGACATAAGAAACTCAAAGTTGTCTCATTTGCCGCTTTAACAGAAAGAGGAAGCTAGAAGTGGTTCACTTATCTATCGAACAAAGTAAAATCTGTTGATAAGAGTACAAACGATTTTTTTCCCTTCCTTTTTATATCTTATTTTATTTTTTTGCCCGAACAATGTCATGAGACATTTTTCAGGCAAAACGACAAAAACGTAAACAAAAAAATATTGAAATTCCTTAAAAATTATGACTGAAATAATACTCTGACATGTGGGTTTATTGTTTTCTTTGTCACATTACCACAGAATGAACTTTGAAAAGCAAGGCATTGATTCAGCATTATCAGAAAAAGACCACCGTGGAGATTCTTATAAATTTTGATAAAACAATAATTTCAACAATTGTTCTCTCTGATAGGAACATTCTGCATTCTATGAAAGCTTCAAGAAGAGGAGACTGAATACCTAATCCGTTAAACGCGCCGCGATATTTTGCAACAAAAAACAATTTTGACGGCTCTGTTCACTGAAGAGGGCTGAGTGCTATTCATATTGATAGACTGCAGTCTCCGTTACTTTTAAATTTCTTATGGTTTGGGGTATCGTGATCCTATTTTTAAAGTAAACTAAAACGAGACTAAGGCGTTCTTGCAAAAATAAATAACATTTGTGTTGGCGTCGTCGCCTCTGCTGTAGGGCTGAGTGATATGGGTCAAACGTGATTTAGGAAGGCGAGAAATCAAAATTTCTCATGGAATTTAAGAAAATATTGGCGCCTGAGTTTTGTACGTGTAACAGACTGGCGTCCATGGGTGATGAAAACAATCAGGGTGTTGTTCTTGTGCACGTGGTGAACAGCTAAATACACATCCACTTGTTTTGTTTTCGATTTTTTTTTATCAAGAAACATGATCCAAACGTTGTACCTCAACACGACGGAAGTTTTTCAAGTGCTTTTAGCCGAACAGTTGTGGCAATGTAGAATCATCTCTTCGAGACTTGTTTTTTCAATTTACAAGTACACTTCAATTTAATATGAAATTTTCTGGGCGTAAATCCGACACCTCGTGAACTGGCCATGAATTTCCTTTGTCGAAAAAGTTTGGCGAAACATGAAAGCCGTAGATTTTCAAACATCTAAACGCTGCCTAAATATATTAGTTTCCTTGAAATTTTTGCCTTACACGTAAAAACAAATGATGTATAATGCTTTGAAATTAAACGAGACACACTCGACCTGCGAAGGTTCACAACAAGGAAACAGAATCACTGGTCAAACGTAGTTTTTAATATATAAATTAATCACACCAACTACTACCAGTGCATAGCTCTCGGGGAGGTAAAGTGTTTTCGATAAGAAACCATTCACTGAAATATCTCTTCGCTGTTGTCGAGAGGATTAAAGCTTGCTAGTCTAAACCACACGCTAACTCAGTGAAATCCAAAATCATAACGAGAATGAGATGATACCATCCCAGTATTAGTTGTTCTTTTCAAAAAATGATAACTGTTAAAACTCTGAAACGGCTAAAATAAACCATTGATATTGTTGAGATGTAGACTATATCTGGTCAATAATAATTCACATGTACACCAACATTTTACGGAAGTTTGGCATTTAGACTTTGCTTCGTCTTTTTCAAGTTTTCATGCCCAATTTCAGTTGCTTTTCGTGTAGAAACATGCCCCTTCTTTACTTATTCGAGGACTTCTTTGATTGAGTGTTTCCTTAATCTAACCCTAAATTCAAGCCCCTCTGTTATTAACCTTTGAAAACATCAAAACATGAATTTCCTTCTTGTAAGGTGATCCTTGTGTAAAGCTTGCGTTTTTGTATTGGAAATTAAGTTCTACCTGAACTTGTGTGACAATTTTTGTTTTGCATGCCCACAATTAATCAACAGTTCTTTGAAAATAATTCTAGGAATTCAAACAAATAGATCCTAGTCTCAACAAAAATAAAATTTTATGATCATTAGCGGGAGACACTCGACTCCCTTGGCCATGATTTGTCAATGGGCCCTTACTCCCAATTGCGGTTTTCGAGTTCGCTTGAAGGGCTATCAGCAAAAAGTGTTTACGAGAGTGAAAATTACCAACAGCTTAAGTAATATATCTTGTTTAATGCTTGAAAAGAAACATGTTTTTCTGTAGTCAACAAAAATACAAAGTTCAAGACTCATAGAGGGCAAAAAAAAAAAAATGTTTTGACCAGGTGTGCCAAATCCCTCCTCGAAAACACAGAAACCAAACCACATAAAAATGGGCTTCATCAGTGATTGTACAGGAAACGAATGTATAGCCGCAGTGAACGATATACGTCCGTCTGAAAGCATTTCCCTCACAAGAGTTCACTCGCGCTCTGAACGGGGATTCGACAGGACCCAGCAGGGCCTTGAATCAAGCCACCCAATCGCCTCTTGAGTCGCGGCAATTTACCCTTCGTGCGCTACAGCGGAACGGTCACAGTAGCAACATCTCGATTGCTAGAGCTGGTAAAGAGAAAGCGGTCATTGACCCGGTAAACCCTAACAGGCTAAGGAGATGTCTATATCACATTTTCAAGATCTTCAGGCGATGCAAAACCTAGCTCTGTCGCCAGCACATTACGACGATAAGGGGGTAGGTGGCTTACTATAGATCTTGCCAAGATGGCAACCACTCGGCAAAGCAAAATTTGTTTACCTGATAAGTATTTGGATTACAAGAAAAGTTTCACGAACGCGAGAAGCAATTACTTCGTAAAAAGTTTCACCATTAACAGTTATGATAATTTTCAGGCATCAAAGATCAAGCTTTAATCGAACAAGACGATCGAAATATTAATAACATTTTGGCGTCTCATGAAAACTTGTCGATACTTTTTGTGCTCGGGCGGTCGGTCCATTACACACTTGAGCATACAATTTTAAGTACAATTCTCGAAGTATCACTTGGTATTGTGTGATAACGATTCTGCCGCGAAAAGTTTCGTGACTTCGCAAGGTTTGTTTTTCAACTTTGAAGGCGACAAAATGGAGGAAAAATTAGCGCGTTGAGCCGCGATATCCGCCGGATTACCTCAAGCAAACTAACAACGAAACTAAAGTCGAAATTGACTTAAAACTTTACAGGTTTACAATACACAAAGCGAAAACTAATAAACATTGTAAGCTGACAAAGCATTCACGGATGATTAATGTTCGATTGGCTTTCAACTAGTACTGTTCATCAAAACTCTGAACTTACCTTTAGGCATTGGAAAGCAGTGAAGGTGGATTGTTGTAACCTTAAATCCGAAGTAACATGAGAACAAACGGCCTTCTGATTCGCTTCCAATTCCTAGACCAAACAACCCATTATGGTCCAACTGGAATTCTTATTTGCCTGATATCACAGTTGTTTCTCCGCCATATCGGTACTATGATTCAAAGGTGAAAAGCAAACTTCTTTAGCGGCAGTCACCATTCATCTCAATCGTAAAGCCCGGGCCCTCAGGTTAAAAAAAAATTGTCTCATATCTTGGAGTTTTTAGTCGAAATAAGACGTAGTTTGTGAGAGCCAAAATTTAGAGAAACAAAATAGTCGAAAAAACGCGATTTTAAAGTTACAACAAATTCTTCTCGTTTGCTTGGTGTTTTTGGTATGTTAAGTTTGTTTTCGGTCGCCTTTCATCCGCTTTCTTCAAGCCACTGTTCTGACAGACAGATGCGGACATTTTGGACAGCTTTTTCGCTTTCCATCGCTATCAAATAACCAACCTCTTGAAATAAAGAACGTTCAGACGGCTTATCCTAGATACCAAATAACATGGGAATATTCGGCATGAGGAGTCAGTTTTACGACTTGTATGAAGGAATAGAGCAACTCCGCACTTCAAAATAATTAGTCTATGATTGCGAAGCTCTGAAGTGTCCCACATCCCCAGTTTCGTTTTTCCTTCGAGCAAGTTGATATTAAGGGGAGAAAGCTTATCCATCAACAGTCCGCGAAGCCACTAGCGGAGTCCACATTGACGAACGAAGACTATTTTGGCCATATTTGATCACTCTAGTGAGTGCTTTCTTGTTTTTTTCTTTCTGTAAACATCATTGGCGTCATTTATTCTGCGTTGTCGTTTTAAACTGGCCCTTTGCTTCTTTGCGACGGGACAAAAAGCCGATTGAACACCCTTCGCAAGGTTCATCACTCATTTGCCGGTAAAAAATCGAAGCTGGCCTGGCCATTCGGCTCCCTCCTTAATTGTGCGGTAAATGTGCGTTGATCGCTACTCTAGAGAAATGTCAAAGCTTATAACTCAGGGCCTTTTCAAATTTAAGTCAACACAACCGACACACGGCATATTAATAGTCATGGCGGCATCGACAGTCGAATAAAAGAATAAAACTATCCTTAAAACTGAACGCTTACCCTTAAAGAGAACCGCGTGCTTTTTATTTACTCATTTGAAGTCAACTGCTATAAGATACGGCACCTTATAACAGTCTGACAGCAAGATAAATCGAAGGTAACTAGGAAAAGAGTGAATCGATAAAGGTGACTAGGGAGCATTTCTAAGCGTGAAGTGTCGACCACGCTTTGATTACATCCTGTACGATTTGCTATGAAGAATTTCTCTTCCAACATATTTACGCCTTGAATGGTTTTGGCGCTGGAAAAAGTACAAAAAAACATTCACTTGATGAAAAACAACAACAACAACTAGACGGAAGATATCGTTCCTTCGGGAGAAAAGGGAAAGATTAAGATAAAGGTTATATATACACAGCCACCTGCTCGGCAGCGTTAGAAAGCTGAAGTGAGGACAAGGCAACTTTTTACTAAATCGCTTGGATTTTATACCTGTGGGTACAATCCTTTTTCTAGGTTCTTCGTGGAAAATCGCGCTAATTTCGACATTTATTTCATGTCGACAGATTTAAAAACTAATTGAAAATCGCGTTTTGCAAAGTAGTTTCAGAACCATCTTTTGTTGACAGAAAGCCACCACATAGATTAAACAGCCGACAAAAGTGATTATCCAAAGCACACCCCTAGAAAACTTTTACTTCGTATTTTGCGTCAGAGTTATTTCTTTAAAAGCACATAAATATTTTTGTACACCGTGAAAAAAACCTTGCATTCAACAAAAGGTGTGGTGTAGCTGACTATTCAAGGAATAGGAAATCTTTTCTTTGGCGAGAGAGCATTGAATTGTTGGGCGGGAAGATTATTGTTTGGTTATCCCAAATTTAAACGAAAATTTGCGCCTTGATCTTTGTTCTTGACGTAAATGACCCAAAATAATTTGGCACCGCATAAAGAATCGCCAAACGAAAAGAGACGACAAAAAGTCGACCAAAAATTGAAACACGAATTGTCATCATGCCACTCGTCATTGAGGCTATTATGCTCCAAAGAAGAGCAGCCGGGATATGTCACGGATGCAACATCCACTTCTCCTGCTTACTCTCCTAAGCTGTTTAGCAGCTTTATTGATGGAAAAAGTAAAGCCCGTTAATGGTATTAAAGTATGTTCGTAAAGCGTTTTCCGGTTTTTGGAAGGGCAACTAGTTTGACCGCAGTTCTCTGCACCCGACCTGAAGCATCAACATAATCGTCTAGTGCTAAACGCTCCCGGACAGTAGATTGACAAGTCCAAAGCTTTCTTTAATAAGCCAAGGTTAACCTTCGCTTTCCCGCCTTTTCAATCTTGCTGAGATAATTAAGAAAAGACAGCGCAAACTGAGCCATCAGCTGTACTGGGCTGTTTGCGATGAATTGTCAAAATACAACCAGCTGATTGAAATGGGCTGAAATGGCGAAGTATGGCGAACCATAACTTGGTGAACCCATTTCTAGGTGAAGCTCGTCACTATAAACTGAATCATTTTAAGAAATTATTTCACAAATATGAAACTACTTTTTTTAAACGACAATTTATTTACACAATTTGTTTAATACCACAAGAACGAATAAAGAGTTTTCTTCATTTAGTATATGAAACTGAAGTCACACAACGAGAAAGCGTCTTATACCTTAAATATGAGATCATTTTTTCGGTCGTATGATTTCGATCCTCTTCAATGCTGTTGAAAAACTGTATAAATTTTTTTAAGGCGAACCTTCTTTTCATAGCTTTGCATTTAAACAAATAGGATTCATGTGAAGAAGTCCGGTTCGACGATTAAATTTAACATGCCTCTCTCGTGTGAACCAATATGGAGGGCAGATGTCAACATGGAGGCCATGGCACAAAGATACAGAAGTACAATTTGTCAAATCAACACCAAGAGATACGTCCAAGTAAATCAAACTCTAATTTCAAAAAGGTGTGGAAAACATTTTACCTGGGAAGGTTTTTTTTTCGTCATTTTAAATCCGTGTTGACTGACTCGTGTCCACAAACGGATGAGCCTCTTATGTTCGATATTGGCTGAGTTTTCATTCACGGCAAAGTCTTGTCTTATCTTGCTACCGAGTCAAGAGTATTTTCACTGTATTGCACCGAGAAACCACATCTTAAAAGTCAAACGAAGCTGATCGAACGTGTGTAGTACAAGAAGGCTCGTTCGAGAGCAAACTTCCCTTTCAGCTTAAAAGTTTGTACAAATATCACTATGGGAAGAAAAGGACTGTCTGAGAAAACTTGCTTCATCATCACCATTCGAGATGGATTTCGTAAGTCTTCTCTACTAAAAGCACTTAAACATTTTCGATGGCTCCTGGCTGCTTTTCATAAAACACAAGTGGTCTATATTTGGGCGCGAGAAAAATCCCTACCTCGAATGAAATCTCCTCACTTCACAGCTCGCAAAAAGCCGAAGTGTAATCCTAAACCGAACCACTGTTTGAGGTTCATTGAAAGCATATGTCGTTCACAACGGTAGTCGTCAGAAGTATCGAGAGGTCGATTTCGAAATAAACTGCAGACGTTAAGATCAAAACCCAGGCTGATAAAGTTAACGAAAAGACCCAGCTGGTTCTGACGAGAACCGAACAAGTGACGAAGTGAAGGTGAGGATAGTTTCATTGGTACATTTTGTTACGGTTGGGGTTCTATAACCGCTTTACTCTCACCCGCCATTATGCAAGGTTATGTTAGGGTCACGTTAAAAGAAAAAAAAATGTGTTAAAAAATCTTAAATGAGGAGCTGTACTAGGACTTTGTGCCTAAAGAATAAAACCAGTTCAGACAAGTTTTAAAAACAAAACGTCCAAACAAAGAGGTGAAAAGCCCCGAAAAGTGCAAACGCATTGTTTGCGAAATCTTGTGAACGCTAGTCGCTTTTCATCAACGAAGTTCGTTTGATGTTTGTGTTTAAACACAGGCAAGCAAGCAGGCGGAACAACCAGACTCAGCGCTACAAAACACTTCCTTCCTCACTGTTCAAACGTGATCCTACGAGCGGTCTGCTATGACCGGTGAGCCGATAGGGCAACAGTTGAAGATCATTGTTTGTATCAAATAGCCCGCGTCTCTTGTTCTCAAAAACGATTTTTATTGTTTAGTGTCGATTTTGAAACTGTTAAGATTTCTTTAACAGTTAATTTAACGAAAGCTCTCTTTACAATACTAGCCTCTTCTTTTGGAAGTTCCTGTTTTATCTCTTGGCTTTCAGTTTAAATAAATTCGTCTCTCTCTCTCTTCATTTAATCTTCCGGTCACCCACTAAAACATGGCGTCTCTACTCTCCTTTCACTCCTCGTAAAATTTCCTTCCGTCGAATAAACTGAACATGTATCGTGCAGATATGTTTGAACACCGTTAAAGCATCAATAGTACCCACTTTTACCAATATAGTTGTAATATAAGTCCTGATCTACTTCCACGATGGGAAACATTGAATCGTAGAGACTAACCTACTGTCTTCATGCAGCTTCAGCGCTTGTTAATGCCCTTCAAATAACGTATAGTTCCTACAAGCTGGATGGCAAAGAAACCTTCGTTCGCACGTATGCTATAGCGACGTGAAGCGCTTTTGATTGATGCCATAGTTAATCCTAAAATACCAGAAATAACCAATTTGCCTAACCGCCGGTTCGCCAGAATGTTATGAGGCGTCCTAATGGACACGACATAGTTGTCATACCTTTGTTGTGAAATTGAAGTATGGTTTTATTTTGCGACAACTCAAGGCTGTTAGCTTTTTCACGGTCTGTCTTCACAGACAGCGAACTCCAAAGATGTATAAATAAATCAGGTGGCAGTTTTAATGCCTATTAAAGGGGCAAAGGTTTTTTAATCCGATAACACAAACACACTGTTTTCCCCCCACACGGAGGTAAAGAAAAGCATAAGTGAAAGAAATAAACATCGGCATGACACCCCAACACTTAGGCCGCGCTTGTAATGACAGATTTCATTGTGAACTCTGGAGAGCAATCCTAATTTCATGCATGACATACAAACTTTAAGCGGTCCTTTCAAAGCAATCGGAGTGTAGACGTTGCCTTGTCACCAACCGATCTCGAGGTTGTTGGATGGCTTTCCCGAGCGGCTTGGCCTTTATTGACCGTCGAGAAAATATCTTCTATACCAAACTACATATTCAAATGATGATAACAGGACTTCGAACCTTGAACTGGCTCTTAGAGAAGAGGCTAGGTCATTTTTTTATTATTACTTTACAAATATCCGTTTGAAATTTCGAGTTCTTATGAATTTTTTTTCATCAAAACAAACCTGGTGGGTCAGCTATTGAGAGCTGATAGCTGAAAGGACCCTTGAAGCCGAAGTTTAAATTAGTGGCAAGCAGCAAAAATGCAAAACGTTTATCCATGCGTGACCAGACGACTTCAAGGCATCATATCAGACTTTGTGTTATTGTGTATTATAAAGTGTCAAAACTTTCGCTGTTTTCAAGCCTCGCTTGTCACATACATCAACCTTTCGCGGTTTTAATAGTCGAGCAGTTATCACCCTGTCGAACGCTCTCATTCGCTGTCTTTCATTCCATGTGAAAACGAAACAAGATGTCGATAGAATAACAAAAGACAAGCCATCAGATTTGATCGGCGAAAACTATCGCGTTAAATATCAGGGGTCTGTGGTGCTGAGTAGATAAACTATTTTGATGGAAATTTTTTCGGGAAAGGAATGTCACTTGCGGTTTTGCTCTGTTGATTAATAAATGCCTTTGTTGGAGTCAAGCTAAATTATTCACGTTCCTACTTTGACTCATTTGTTGGGATGCGTTAGTTTCTTGATCTACGTATTTTCATTTGACGTTATTTGAAATTCTTTCCTAAAGTAAAAGCTTAATGATTTAAAAATGATTTTCATGCGGCTAATCATTGTCATGCGACTGGGTAGATAAGTACGAGGATCTAATTAGCAGATGTCAGCTTGGAGGATGAAGCTTTTCGCCAGAACGTCACTTGCTTGACTGCATGTTGAAAAGTGCGACAACTGGATTGACAAACATAGCTTCGTTACAGTTAGTTAGCTCAGACTAAAGCGTACACATCCCGCGCGCACCGTGAAAGAAAAGAGTTCGTGCCGAGCGACATCGAAAACTGATTATGTTACACTGCACTTTGTTTATTGTGCACATGAAACCTGAGGTGGCGGCCCAAGCAACTCAACTTAAGCTGTGCCAACACGCTCTGAAATTTCTTAAGGTTTGGGAGTCTCTTTGGAACTTAAAACTGCTGAAAAGTTACTCCACGTGGGATTAATTTGATAATGATAAAAAAATTATGGCTACAAATTTGTAATAACTCTGTCTTTTGATAGGAATGTTTGTGTCATCTGCCCGGGGTGCCACAATGTTAAATTTTTTTGTTCTCCTTGTAATTTTGTTTCGTTATAAATTGGCGCCTTTGAAGGAACGCGTGATCCCTATGTTTGATTTTTCTGAAAGCCTCTCTTAAGAATTTCCTAATTTTATTAACAAGCCCTCGCGGAAATTTTCTCTTGCAAAGAGGGAGCAAATAACAGTGTCCAATTTCAGTTGCCAATTATAAGTTCAGGTCTTGAATTCACCTCTCTTCGCCCGCCGCATCACGTACTTAATTTGCATGAGCAAATCAGAGATCTTTAGATTAAGCACAACCTGTACGTTTAGTCTACGACGCACGCCTTTCGTTGTAAACGAGCTTTTGAAAAGTGCTGATGATAATAACTTGCAAAACAACAGGCAGACATGTACGGACAGGCGCGTAAACACTGCTTGGCATGCTGTTACTACTGTCAGCAAACACACGAACACGCTCGCCGCAAATTGATCAGGATTACGCTCGCGATCGGATTTTGAATAGCTTGCAACTTTAGCTCACTTTAATGACAATGAACTTCACAGCAAGCACTGACAAGTACACAGTATCTTGTGCGGTTTCAAGCATGTTCGCTTGGATATGTTGTTTTCAGCCGAATGTCGGTGTTCTCCGCCTTTCTGACAGCTTTTGACAAAAGGCGTCACGTTTCTTCATTATCAAACAGACAAGGAAATTGATAGTGAAACACAATCCGTCAAAATTACTTTCAATTTACGACAAATTCAATAACGGCAACCAAAACAAAAATGAGCAGACAAGGCGCAATTTTTTGGATGTAATGACTTTAAATCCAAATTGACCTGCCTGTTTTTACATTTTCTTTGTTTCAGCTGTATTTGAGTTTTTAACGCGTTTATTAAAGTTCATTTTATGTTGTTATAGAAAGCCTTTCCCAGGCAGGAACACTACAAAGCCAATTAACAGCAGGTGTTAGAAAGCTGTCAATCAAAGTCGACAATGGGTTGTTTTACATACTTCCCAACGCATCGAGACATTTGAAAATTGTTTTGTGTTCTAATTAAACGGGGGTGTGAAATTTGAAACATGCATGCTCGGAAACCATGCCTATCGCAAGCCCAAAACGTGTTTTTAATAAACTGCCATTCATTCGGGGCTTTGGTTACACGTTAGAAATTGCACTCGATTACTTTGTTGTAAGCTTTTGAAAAGGATGACACGCCCCAGATCCTGCGTAAAGAACCACGATGGCTTAGACAATGGAGATTGAAATGTTTAGACATATTATTTGGCTTGGCGGATGAGATGTGTCCTGATTGGTCGGTCAAGCTAATTGGTTCCACCAGGTATTATTGAAAAGTGGCTGGTTTTATGAAAATACCCAGGAGAATTGACTAATGGCTTTGCCTCCGTTCCAAAGTACTTTGCGTTGTTCTATTTTAAGGGAAAAAGCTTATTAAGGTTTGAGATGCCCTGTCAAGTCAAATACTAAGCTAAGTCCTTCCTGAATAAATTGACTTTTTCTAAACCTTCCTGTAAGAGAGAATTATTTTTCTTACATGCCCGGTGATCCTGATCAACATTTGAACTCTCAATCACTCGTTACGTGACAAGGGCCCATGGAGATTTTGAAAGGTGATTGACAGACTTGTGGCCAAAAGCCACGAGACAGGCTTGACAATTCGTTACTAGTTGTGTTGACGGCCGTACACATCTTTTCCTTACATACAGTTGACGGGTTGTAAGTTTAGAAAGCTATCCAACTGTGTCAGTCCTAAACTGATTGTCAGAATTCGGGATTAAACATTTGCAGCAATTTTACGATAACAATCCTCCACAAAGCGGCTCGTCACCCTGGAGTTGAGTGAATAAGCATCGTATGGCACAACGGGTCAGTAACCGAGCGTTCCGTTTGCCCGTGATGCCGGCTTCTGGCGGTGTGTGTGCATCATTTTATGCTTGTTTAGCGCTGCTGTTACGCACTGTCTAGCAGGAGACGTAAGCAACAGCTGACATGATCGTTTAATTTTGCAGCCTTATGATGAAGTGGGCTCTTACGCGATGGACGTTGCAACCTCAATGTACGATCACAGTCGCTCAGCTCAGATGCAACACATGAACCACACGAGCGCTACCTCGCCGTACCATCACACGCCAGCCTCTGGAGGAGGAGTGTCGAATGCGATGAGCGCTGTTTCTGATATTCATAAGAGAGATAAGGAGTTAATATATGGGTATGTACGTTACGATCGCCTCTCAGCTCAGATTTGCATGTCATGCGACTGAAATGTATCACTCACGATCGACTGTATCTAAGAATCTCGGTGATCACTGACAACCGCGCAAACTACAAATAGGTAAAGTTACACATGACGGTCACAGAGCACACGTCTAAGCTATTTACAGCAAGACGTCCTGCAGGATCATGATCACAAGTCTTTTCATTTGCACCGCGGTAAATGAACGCTTATTAACTGAACTCTATTCATTAACATGAATGCTCTAATTCCAGGCATTCACTGTTCCCTCTTCTGGCACTCATCTTCGAGAAATGCGAACTGGCAACGTGTACTCCTCGGGAGCCCGGAGCTGTCGGTGGGGACGTGTGCTCGTCCGCTTCGTTCAACGAAGATATCCAGGTATTTTCGAAGCAGGTATGTTCACAGTTTCTAATCCAGTAGTTACAATTATCCCCCAGGCCTTTAGGGGACGGATATCCAGTGATATACTAGTCTGACGTGATCGTTCAAAACCGTTCTTGAAGTGCAACAGTTTTCATTCTCGAGTCACACACTAGGATGATCTAGCGAAATCTCATAATGGTTTCCGTTTGTTGTTGTGTTTTCAGTTCAGGAGTGACAAGACGATTTTCTCGTCCAACCACGAAGTCGATAGTTTGGTAAGTGTTGTTTTCGTTTGTTTTCAACAAACCGTAAGCTATCATTTCAAAGGTGGACGTGTTAAAATATTAATACGAACCCGGTTGATTGAATTTAAATAACACAAAATGTTGCCACATGCTTCGATGCCTTTATACGTTGATTTATACACGCACAGCAGTCATTTGGGGCTTTGTATCACCCCGGTGTCGCGAGCTGTAGCATGACGGAATCCTGCTTTTTCTCTGTTTTTTTTTGCCAATTTTTGGGTTCTTTCTATTCTAGATGATTCAATCGATCCAAGTCCTGAGATTTCACCTCCTGGAATTAGAAAAGGTAAGAAAATATTTATTTAAGTTGATTCGCGGGTGTCATTTTCTAGTCAGCCGTGAGCAGTCACATAAAAGCTTGTTGAGCAAGCGGAAAGGTAAAGAGAATTTCTTTAGGCTCTGCGAGGCCCTCAGATATGTGTATATAAGCAAAAAGGCTCCAGACATTTTTCAGACGAGAATTTGCATAATGCATATATTACGCTTATCTTTAGTTAGAAATTTAATCTCGTGTTGTCATTTGCTTTTATTCGATGGATTTCAAAGGTATTTCTTCGAGCTAACACTACAGTCGAGTTTAAATTAGGGGAAGTCGTTCCTGTTGTTAAAACAAAATCTATATAATCCAATTCAGATCTTGTGTTCTTCCTTTAGGTGCACGAGCTGTGTGACAACTTCTGTAAGCGCTACATTTCCTGCCTTAAGGGGAAAATGCCCATTGATCTTGTTATGGACGAGAAGGAAAATATCGGCAAAAGCAGAAGCGACAGCGATACTTTGGACATCGATTCACCGCCAGAAAGCGCCCTGCCACAGGTACTGTAATCTGATGTGTCATGTATTGCGACCGAACGCCACGCTATCGCCCCGTTTTCTTATGGTTGTTTTTTCATCTAGTAGATGGCCTTCGTGGAGGTGTAAATTTCTTTCACAACATCACATTATCATCTAAGTGGATGAATGGCTATTAATAAATCGCGCGAGGATGATACCGCACGGTTACTGTACTGTCTTGGCAATCTCGCGATAGAAGTGAATTGCCTGCAGCGCGACCCAGGGCGAACGGTTCAGGACTTGATTGATGAACACTGACTGCAGTATTTACGTTGCGCCCCGCGGCGATGTTTTCTAAACTTTCATTGTCCAATAGGTTGAATGGGAAAGTAAAAACAAATTGTTGTGTGGTTACTGTATTTAAGACGGCTCGTACAACGAGCCGTCACAAGAAGTCACCAAAAGTCATCTAGTAAACCATCAATTGGACACTTGTGATGGTGTTATATTTTGTCAAGTTGAGAGAAGTTTTTATTGAGCCTAGACAGCTCTTTTGGCGGATTGACGTGTTGAAAAAAGGGTTCTTTCGTGTCCCAAACACTGGGCATTTATCTAAGATCAATTTCACACCTCTACGTTTTCAACCTGACAAAATCACTAACAATTGAATGGTTACCTGTTTTCACCTTAGACAGGTAAAACAACCGCGCTCTTAGACAGAGTCCGGGAGAAAACAACGATATGGCGGATTAACTTGTAAAATTATTAGCGCGGCGGGCCTATTTTCTTGTAGATGGGATTTTCGTCAATTACCTCTTCACAATCACTAGTGACAAAAACTGTGTTAGGTGTCGAAACTTTTACACCTCTCGCTTTGCTTTTCTTATTCACTTAGTGTCAACTATATGAAAGGATTTAAATTGTTTCTTCGCGCTTCGAGAGATAACACAAGCAATTCACGCGATCGATCGCTCATCTTTGCGACTCTTTCCTTCGCTCATCACAGGCATCAAACTCCCAGAGCTGGCAACCCGGTCAAGGAGATGAGGCCACCGGTTCAGGCTCCAATTCTCAATCATCGTCCCGACCACCGTCCAACTCTGGGGTCGATGGACCTACAACTCCGGAAGGTGAGGAAATGACTAAAGCTTTTATTAAAAGCGACATTTCTATCACTTCTTTATTAAATTGTTTCCGTATTCGATGTCTTTTTAATAATGTCTTCAGTAATACATCACTAAAACGAAAATTTATCGGGGGTTACTGTTTTATCGCGCTTTTATTATGCTAAACGAGTAGCTCTTGGCCATTGTTGTAATCCACGTTGGCAATTATATAAAGAGTGGGATTGAACAGTGAAATTATTGGTTCAGCCCTACGTCTATTCTTGTGGGCTTTTATTGAGTTGAAAGCTTTATGTCTCTGTTGACACAGCTGCATAAAGGCTTTCTTTCTGTTGGTAATTAAAAAGAATATCACTTTACGCGTTTTACGACGCGAAAGGATAAGGCATATGCAAATTCTGCTGCTTCTTCCTCATATGCATACGTTTATAGTCATTATGTGTCGTTTGCTGGAACAACCAAAACACCCTGTGTGTGAGACTTTGTTACGAACGCTTTTGTGATTTTTTTGTCTGCAATGATAAACAGACCATGATCGATAAAGAGGTTCGAAATGAGCCCTAAAAAGTTCACGGATAGCTTATCGCGTGCTTCTCATTCGGTGAACGCCTTCTTTTGATTGCGAGGTGACAAGAATATTTTCTAGTACAAACATCACTAATTGTCAAAGAAAAGTTACAATTAAGGTGAAGGGAACGGCGCAAATTTTTTTCCTTTCCAACACTATTTCGCTTTGTGTATTCAAACAAAGGGAAAGAAAAGAATTTGTAGGAATTATTTTGACAATGAAGAGACGATAAAATTAACAGCTAGTAACAGATGTGCCATTTTCGTTTACAAACTGTCAAACATGAAGCTTTCTAAAAGATGAAAACTGAAGCAATCATTTCTAATGGACAAAATAATATTTATAAAATAGTATTCGCCTGTCAAAAAGGAAGACTCTTTGTGAAGTTCGGCTGCGTTCTAATCAGTAATTTTTCTCCTAGGAATAGATTCAAATGTTAATTAACCGCAGGACCTTGCCAGTTATTCGAGCAATTTTGACAAGAGCTTCTTGTCTTTATGCGACGTAAGCTTTCACTGTCAAGATTTCATATAGCTCACTTAAGTTGGAAAATGTGTGTATTTTAAAAATATTGAAGCCGATAATAGCTTGCCTTTCATTTAAGTGCATGTGTACCATCCCTTTCTGTCATTGTCTCAATTCTTGACAGTATTTCTTGATTCTTTGATAAATCTGACAAGATAGCCTCTTGCAATTTCCTCCAGTAATTTCCTGAAGTAGTGTCAACCAATAATTCATTATGCTTTTGTCGTCACTTATATCTACAATCTCCGGGGTTTAGTTTCGGGATTCTAGGAGTGAAAAACAAAGAAGAACAAGCTCTCGCAAATTAGTGCGCGCCACTTCTCGTTGAGACCTTCTCGCCTCCTCAATCGTTAACTTTTCAAAACTTTTGTTATCGTCAAGTGGTTTTGGAACTTCTAATTTCTATGTGCTCTCGAAGATGCCTCATGGAAAACAATTTCAAGAGCTTTATTGCTGTCACGAGCGAATACCAGGTGAAAGAAGAGTAACATGAATTAGTAAGACTAAGGGCTGTTGTAAGTATTTAAGTGAACCTGATGGCTTTTGTCAGCATCCAAGTACTAGGGGTGTCAAATTTCAAGGATCTATCTGTAGTAGATTCTCCTCATGGTGGTGAAATTCTAGTCTTTTATCTTGCCATGCCCCTTGAACAAATTAATTAAGCTCAAATAACGCAGACTTTAGGCTTCGCCAGCCATACTCTTTCTTATCAGCTTGTTGAAGGTAGTTTAAATCGTGCTCAAATTCCGCATCTTGGTTTGGGAGCTTTTAGAGATAGAAAACAAAGCCATAAAAGCGCGGTGATAGCGTCCGATTAACTTAATTGCTCCTTGTCAAAAAATTGAAAGCAAGACTTTTCCTCTAGAATCGACTGGACATTTTTTAAGGATTTTACCCTTACTTTGGTTATAAAATTTCATCAACAAAGTCGAGATTCTCGATTGAAAAGTGCTTCGTGAAAGCGATCTTTGGTTAATCCTTAGTTTAGGTCGATGAATGTTTCTTCTCGAGTGACAAATGCACGCATGTACGCTAAGAGGGATTTAGTTTTTACTGCCTTTAATAATCCGGTAGGCTTAAGCGCCAACCTGATTGCTTCTCAGCATGCGTCTTGTGTCGCGCGGTGGACGCTCTCCCGTGTTATTTTTCTTATCCTGTCTTTAGCTCCATTCAATTTCCAACCAGATGTTTGCTTGTGTTTCGCCTCATTTTCATAAAGATGTCATTTTGAGAGAAAGAAAATTTGACTTGGAGTATTTATCATTCTTTCGTGATGTTTACTTAATCCAAGACACTGAGCTAACATTTCCTCCTTTTTCCACCCACTATTTACATTGCCGCTTCTTAAGAGGCATAATGTGGCAGGCGATGCTGCGAAAAAAGTGACTGGGGTAAAGCGGTGAGACTCGACTGCGGGGTGGGGCGTTCTGAGAACCAAAACACTCTCACCCTCGTTAACTGCAGGAAAATCGTTCCACCCTCTCTATTGTTTTCTCCAGAAGTTTAAGTCAACAAAGCATATCACAAGTCTCTTATCGCAGTCATCCTTTCGATGGGAAGTTGGAGTGTTTTCACTAATATGTATTTGAAGGAAATGGGTTGTCTTGTCTTGAATGACACCAATAACGCTATTTCGAAAAGTTCTGGGAATATGTCAAGTAGGTCTTTGTGATTTTTGACAGGAAACTAGAGTAGCAGGTGTTGCTGTAAGCCTCTTCTCTTTGGCAGAAGCCAGAGAGTGTTAACCTTCTAGCCTCCACAAGAAAATTAGGCTGTCACAACTGCCTTAATCCTTCTTGTATGCAAAACTAGCTGTCCGTGCTATTTAACTCATTCAAGTGAATGAGGGGATAAAAATTGCAAATGTGATCGTCTTAACAACGTGTCGTATTCATCACTGTCTATTTCAATATTCTCTCAGCGCTACGTGTAACAGAATAAGGTCTTTGAAGTGGCTCTCGGTAACGACAGTATTTTCTAAAGAAAACATGGCCTGCCTCTTCATTTCAGACCCTTCGTTAAACACGTCTGTTGGCTCGGAAGATGGAAACGGTGACAATACGGACGACGAACAATCGAAGAAAAGCCAGAAGAAAAGAGGAATATTTCCCAAAGCAGCAACTAACATAATGAAGGCCTGGCTTTTTCAACATTTAACGGTAAGATATTTTGTGTCTTTAAGGGTTAGTTCGGATTTATTGGTGAACAAATTCAAATGAAAACTAAATTGCCAGTGTTTCCAGTTTGTGTCAAGACTATACAGGGTTGTTTGTTGCTTTGAACCAGAACAAAACAGGTCGCCTGTTTGATTCTTCTTCACGCTTAGTGTAAGCTCGGTTTCTTCTCCGTTACACATATATAAAAACGTTTTAATTCCTATTCTTCTTTTGTAGCCTCAAGGGATAACTGAACCGTAATAGGCAAATTTTTAGTAAGCTCCTTGAACCGTGTGGGTGTTTGATTCTTGAGAGCAGAGGAACTCATAAGAAACTGGTGGGGACATTGATCTCTTTGGCACCAGTTTGTGCCTCCTTGCGTTTTATAACCTGTCTCACGCAAAGTAACTGCCTGAGCACCGTGAATAAAAGGTCATAAATTTATTTTTTCCGTTTCTCGTTTACGATGTTTGATCCTTCTTCAAGAAACAGAGACAAACCTTTCTAAGGGATTAATTTCCCTGCGTTATTAAAACCGACACTTTCTTTTGCTACATATTCCGACCAAATCTTTTTGTCTTCCATCTCAATTGTTTTAGTAAATCATGGAATAAACGAGTTTTAATAACTTTCACTTTTAGCATCCATACCCATCCGAGGAACAGAAGCGGTCCTTGGCTCAGGAAACCGGACTTACTATACTACAAGTTAACAACTGGTGAGTCGTTGATCTTTCATCCACCAAAATATCATAAATGCCAGCTATTGTTCTCTCATAGCTCGAAACTCTTTTATTAAGGGCACAGAAATAGATAAACACCGAAAAAAAAAATTATCATTGCTGTTTTAACATTAATTTCCCTGTGTCATTAGTTGACTTCCTCTTGTTAGCTGATGCCGGAAAGTTTTGCCAAGACGTTTGTTGATTTCTTGCGACATTTTTGTAACAGGATGTTACAACTGCTTCGTATATTTGGCAGGTTCATCAACGCGAGGAGACGTATTGTTCAACCGATGATAGATGCCTCAAACAGAGCAGGAAAGTCACCGGTTGTCACTGTGTTTAAGTCAAGACGACGGAAGAACTCTCTCGGTCAAGGTCTTCCTTCACCGGGACCGAGATTCGGTCCTCCAGGAGCACCCCCAGGATATTACCCAGATCAGCATCACCCACCTCCTCATCCCAACTACCCGCACATGGACGGTGGAGTTCCACAGCCCCCGCACTTTGGACCAAGAGGATATATCCCAACAGGCGATCCCTCAGTTAGTGGAGTGGGTACAATACCCCCTATGTCAGCTATGACCGGAGGACCGCATTCCATGCACGCACAAATGCCCGCACACGCCTACAGATCGCCAATGCCTCCAACTTCGGTTCATCAGGCGCAACCCATGTACATCCCTGGTCACCCCCATGCTATGATGATGCCCCCACCGGGGCACCCGCACGCTCATCCACATCATCCTCACCCTGGACACCCTGGCCATCCGGGACTACCTTCCACACAAACTTCACCCACTTTAATTTCGTCAGAAAATGTGTTGACAATGTCACAGCCCGTCATGGACATGCACTCGAGTTAAAAGAAATATGAACAGAGTTAACAGATCCTTCATTAGCTTGTTCTGTTTCGCGTTGAACGTCAATACTACGCTTAGTCAAGTATTTTTAGACATTCGGAAAGCAAAAAGAATAGAATTATTGATTATATTCCCGCAAAGTTTGTAAAACTTTCGGTTTATGAAGATTTTATAGGAAAAATTCAATGAATAGATATGTGTCGTTATAGAGATCTATTAAACGTGCTTCCCTGTCGTGTGATGATTGCCGCCTATGCTCTTCCTTTCAAAAAGGAGATTTCAGAAAATTTTAAAAAATGAAGACACTTTTTGTATGATTTGAAAGCAGTTTCTCCAAGAAAGGTGTTAATGTTGATATGATGTACCATATTTCAGTAATAACGACAGTTTCTTAGTATTTTGTTTATATGTGATGCTATTTTGTAAATGCAAATAGATAGACTTTTAAAATTAATCCAGATATATATATACATATATATATATGATCATGATTGAAAATTATGTATTTGTTAATGAGAATTGAAAGAAGACACGAATATAAATGCTCGCTCAATGCTTCGCGAGACTTTGTTCTGTACTGAGTTTTCAGTGGTCTCTTGGTTTTTACAGTTAGTACCTTGGTGTTCCCTTCATTCTGCTTTGAAAAAAGCCACGGTTCCCAGAATTACTAAAGATATGAGTCCTATGAAAACAAACCGCCTCCTTTGTGGTTTAATTCTGCTAGCAATCAAAAGTTTTTCTTTTTTGAACGAATCCCACAAACCAACCCACCGAGGGACAAACGCTCAGAACAACGAAAAGGAAGGATTCATCTCCCTCTTTGAAACGAAAGCAATATTTTTCGTCATGGAGGCATCTTTAATTACTTAGCGATTCCCGAGCAAATTGTCTTCCAACATTAAAGTCTGCTTTGGATGAAACGTGTCACCTCTCCTTTGAAATTGTACATATTATTTAAAGTTCCACAACAGCGTAATTATGGTGTTTAGTGTGGCAATTAACGTCTGCCAAACCGTTCTGGAAAATTTCCAGCGGTTGACGGTTGCTTTGCTGCAGTGTCTTTAATTAAGACCCCTTGTGCAAGTATACTTAATTCGAGAAATTTGTATCCGGAAAATAACTTTACACGTTCCACGATTTCTGTGAAAATAAAATACTGTCGCTTTGTTTCTTAAAGTTTAAAAACATTGTTTTAAGAATGCCGTAAACGGCATCGTAAACACCCAGTGGGAAGGTATGAAGATTTGTGTTTTGAAAAAGAAAACAATTGCACCTGCAGTGAACCACGACTCCCCAGTTAGAGCTCTGAGAAAATTTACACGTGAAGAGGGAAGAGGAATTGAATTCAGTCACAGATCTTTTCCTTAAGTGGTATTCCGTGACAGAACCCCAAGTGGCATGCTTATTAAAAGCAAGCAAACAAGACAGAGAGGTTTTTCAATATATGTTTTGGAATCATTAAAAACAACTTTGTGACAGCCTCTTGAAGAACACGCCTGTTTGTTCCATAATACTTGAGGCTTGCCACAATTCGACAGTAAATTTGGTTTCCGTACTTTCATGCAAAGAAAGATTCATGAATAATTGCACCTGGGTAGGACACCAATCATGTCCTTTATCACACCTAAAAGCCAAAACTATAATGAGCTCCAAGGGAGAAATAATCCCGCCACTAGAAGGATGATTTCTGGAAGAGTTGAAGGCGGTGTTTTTTGCAGTAGCCCACAAGCTGTTCAGGTGGGTCACCAGTATTCTAACCTGCCTCCTTTCGATTGTTTCTCTTATGAAACGAACACCTTTTAATACTGCTAAATTAAGAACAAAGACAAAGACAAAAGAAGAAAAATTGCTTTGTTGACAAGCCGCGAGTGTATTGACACCTCTGTCAAAATCGACACTCTTGCAGTTATTAAAACTCGGTAACATCACGTAATACCGGGTAGAGAAGGAAAACTGAATGAGATGTAAGAATCTGTTGGACGTTTAAGAAAAAGAGAAGAAAAACAAAAAAATTGAAATAGCTTTACAAAAACTGTAAGATTTTTTTTCTTGGCCTTTGAACTTAAGTTCCATACAGATTTTTTCAGAGGTCTGTATATCCGTTGCTAAATACACTTGCGTTTGAACTTAGATATTACATGCTAATTAATAGCTATCTCGAAAAAAAATGTCGATGACAATTCTGGCAAAAACAAACTATGTTTGCAAATGTCTGACTGTGAAAAATAAATCTTACACTTATGGCCAACTAATAGCCAAGTTTATTCGTCACAAGCAAGACAATGGCACAGACGGTGAAATTCTTAGCTATAGTGGATGTACACTGCGGCAACAACAGACAAAAGCTATAGAAGATATTGGGTGTAATCATTAACCTCTCCACTAAGACCTAAGAAGAAAAATGGGAAGGACGAGGTTTGATAAGGAAATATGAACGAACCTCTTATTGTCTTCTTCTTCTTCCAAAGTTAGTTTGATTTCTATTTTCGGAAAAATCTGAAAGATCGGTCTCTAACTAAAAGACTGCTTTTAAGGGAGAGCGGCGAACAAGAAATTTAAAGCAAACACCTATCTCTTTTTCGAAAATAAGGTAATTCGAAATGATGGAACGATCGCCTCTTCTCTCTGATTTCTACCACAGCTCTTGAAAGAAAATTGGAAGAATATGTTGAGGCTTGATAAAGAAATTAAGAACGATCTTCCTATTGCCTTCTTCGTTCAGAAAATTTGACTGATCACTGTTAAAGAGACTGCTTTTAAAAGTAAGCGGCGAACTCAGACTTTAAAGCAATCATTAATCCCTTTGTTCAAAAAGGGCATTCAAAATGATAAAGCTGATTATCATTTTTCTCCACTTTCAACCACTCGTCTTGACGAGGAATCGTATCAAATCGTCAATAGTCGTAGCAATACCATGCAAAAATATTTCCGTGCTATGGTACTTTAACTTCAGGAAATATAGGTGGAGAGAGGTACTGGCAAACATTAAGAAATCGTTATAGTTTTACCTAATATATGAAAGGCGAACTTAAATTCCGCTCCTCCAAATTATTTCACTTCCAGAAGTGATCATCATAGAGAAAACTATATTTCCGAATCTTGGGCTGCACGTTACTTAGCTTTTAACACTAAATACTTTGCAGAATCCCGACATACAATCATTACGTCTGTTATTTTGGATTTCTTAAGGCATGAGAAGTGCAAAAGGTTTTCTAATAATAGATATACGAACTCGACGTCTTTGGTTTCATATGATGCTTTTACTGAACCGTTTTTCATCTCCCAACTGCTTCAGAGCCATTAGGGAACTAGAGTAGTTTCAAAGAACAAAATGTAAGTAATAGCATAAATTTTTATTAATATCAACGCACTTATCTACAGCACTAATAAATCTGGTTTCGCCAAAGTTATCCGCACGTACCTCTTTAGAGAAAATATGAAACCTTGTCATTTTGAGAGGGCATCGACACTTTGGATTTTCAGGAACATTATATGTTAAATATGATAAAGTTAAACTTCATGGAGCTCCTGAAGTTTTTGTATCACATCATAATTAAACTCATTCGTTTGAGACAATGAATGGCCTCCTACATGGTACCTCGTGCGCTGAAATCGAGAAGCTCAGTACAAAAATTGTAACCGGTATCGCGATATCACACCTGTTCAGCCGATATTTGTGAGTCTGATGGCATGTGGGCAAATATTATTCCTCAGAAACGAGTACCCTAATCACCACCACCTTTTAAAATACTTTTCTTTCTATATTTGTAATGTTAAGTTTTCTTCTTCTTAATCTATTGCCTGGTAAGATATGAGTAGTTTGCATTTGGGCACAAATTCCACGAAAAACCTCTGGATATCACGACATCTGTTCCTCCCACGTCCTTCAAGTAGTAAACAATGTTCTATACTAAATCCCTCGTTCAATAGTGTTACATCCTTTTGTGACGAACTTTCAGCAAATTTTCAATCCCTATAGAGCAAAACAGAATACATGAAAGAAGGGTTTTTCAATAGGTAATATAAATTCGTGGGGTTGGTTGAGCTTTGTCTAATGATATTTGTCGGGAAAAAAATAGTTGCACGAAGCTGGTACCATTTGCAAGTCCTTTCTCTCTTGAATGAGTTTTTAATAGTCATTCACCTTATTGTTTTCTAAAGATTTTTTAACTTCATGTTGCACGTGGAATCACTGAACTGCACGCAACAAGCCATAAAAGATTTAAATCCTCTTTTGTTCACCATAAAATTAAGGATTCCCATTTCCTCTTCTACATCTGATAAGTACCCTGAAAATGGCAAATTATCGACCTCGTAACCACAAATCAGTCAACGGGTTATTCTATCCTGGTGTTCTTCAACGCAGAACTTACTGACAGCGTCCAATGGCTACCATCTTGGAGGGCAGAAAGAATGAAACTCCACTCACGTAGTAGACTGTAATCGTTGAAAAGAATGGGTTTCTTTTGTTTTTGTATTATGGCCAATACGAAGTAAAGTAATTCCTAAAGTCGACGTCCGACATAAGCGGTACGATTTTTGCCAAAAGGATCCATTACAACAGAATAGTGATATGTTCGGATAGAAACAGTCGAAAACTAAACTTGATCGAAGACAGGGAGCTTGTAAACTTATCAAGACATCATAGCTCTATATTCTAGGAAACGAAGAAACAGGAGATTTTTGTTTTGGCTTTCATCGGTCACGACACAGAGTTTGCAAGATTTTCACCATAACACCATTCAAGAATTTTTAAAATGAATTGCCTCTTGTTTTATAAAATTGTATTAGATGATTTTTTTAGCTGATAGTTCCTATTGTTTAAATAAGAGTAATGCATTGAAACAATTACATATTTAAGTACTTGGTTGAATACAGAGGTTTGTTAGCTCGGCTGAAGTTTGTCTTTCAGGTCTTCATGTTCTTAAAGGATATGGTTCGAGCTTCAGCCACACAGGCTTCGCGTTGTTAAACTTTTTATAATCTATTCTACATCTCATCCATTATTCCATTATTTTGGGTAGAGAAATTCACGGTCTTTACAAGCATTCCTACCACAATCTTAGTGCACCTAGTCAACAGAGTATCGGAGCAATGGTGTGTACAGCATTTGAAGCCAAGAATATAGCTCTTCCTTTAAATCTGTTTCAGTCCATACAACACTGCAAGATATCTATGTTGACCAGCATTCTATTTGCGCAATGGCTTTGGACAAAAAGCATTTGAAATTGTCTCTTGTGAATAACTTTTACTAATCTACGTTAAGATCCTCCAGTTGAATCCCCTAAAAGATACGTACTATTCCTGTTAAGCAATTTCGTACTATGTAGGAGATAAATTTCATATAGAATTCGAATCCACTGCTACTGATATCGAAATATAAATGGCGCATGCCAACATGAATAATAAAGGATTAATAACTTAATTGATTATAGTGAGTGAAAATGCTTTATCCTTGCTCCGTTTTAAATTGAATGGACTGATTCATTTAAAAAGGGTCAATGTTTTCAGTTCAGGAGACGTTAATCAATTTACAATAATTAAATTTCTTCTTTTTATTAAGGTAAGAAATTCTTC